TTGAACCACAATACCGATAAGTGATTAATAAAAGTCAAAAGACCAAAGAGGTCACCTTAATACCAAAAAAAAAATATATATATATATATTTTTTTTGCTTTAAAGATATACTTATGAACTTATTAGTTTTTAATTAATATAAATTCTTGTAATGTTCTTATGTACTCAAATAAAAAATTACATATTATAAATATATAATAAATATTAATATGATATTATTAGTTAAATAAATAAATATATTAAAATATTATATTTTTTGCTTTAAAGATATATTTATAAACTTATTTGTTTTTGATTAACATAAATTTTTATAATATAGTTCTGTATTCAAATAAAAAATTGCATATTATAAATATTTAATAAATTTCATTATAATATTATTAATTAAATAAACAATTATATTAAAATAATATATTTTTTGGTTTAAAGATATACTTATAAACTTATTAGTTTCTAATTAATATAAATTTTTGATAAAGAAAACACAGTAGCATTAATAGTATAAGACCTGCCAAAGGAGATGACAGAGTATAAAATCAAGTACCTAGTAAGAAAGATAGATAAAGTAATAGAATACAGAATCTAAAAAAGCATATACAGAACAATAATAGTAATAAAAGTAAAGAGAGAAGAAGAATAAGTATTCCTATAGGTAATTTTCTTAAGAAATAGAAAGTTAGCAAAAATAACAATAAGTAAATAAGAAGAGAAAAAGAAGGAAGAAAGAAATCAATTTACAGCAAAATTGATAGGAATATTAAAGAGAATTTTTGAACTAATTCTACTATGAAAGCTCAAAACCAGAAAGGCAATGGCAGTATACATTCCATCAAACAGATAGAAAAAACTAGGAAATTACACAGTAGTGTTATTTAAAAGTCAGGAAGATATGAATATAACTACTAAAAAAAAGGTCTGGTACAATAAAGTCTTGATGTTCTGAGAAGTCAAACTAAAAAAATTAGATAAACAATCCTATAAAAATAGCAACAAAGTACAAAAGATACAAAAGAAAAAAAAAATAGAAGACCTTAACTTAAGAGAAGAATATACAAATCCAAAAGAGTATATAAAGAGAAATAAATATAGCACAAGACTGAATAATAAAAGGAATAAACAAGAAAATAGAAGACACTAGAACAAAAAAAATAGAAAAAAAAATTTAGCAAGTACAGACTAAGAAGTAAAAAGGCCAAGAAAAAAAATTGGAAATATAAAAAAGACACAAGAGCAGACATCAAATGTGGAAAACATATTAGGCCAAATACTAGAAAGACTATAAAAATTAAAGATTGCCTGGATTCTGTTGACTTCTTCTCATATGTTGATTATTGAAGTAGTGCAGCAAAAAACAAGAAAAAGGAATCAAATATAGAAGTGTTAATAGAAGAACAATAAGCAAAACATGTAGGCATAGTCAAGAAAAAAAATGAGTATATAATAGAAATTACATTATATTTCAAGCAAATGAAATTAATAGTAATAGAGGTCTATATACTACTAAATAACAAAAAAGTAGGAAAAAACATTCAACAAAAAATAATAGAAATTATTACAAAGAAAAACAGACAAACACAAATAGTGATTATAGGAGACTTTAATCATACAATGAACAATGTTCTAAATAGGCAGAACCTACAAGCTGCAAACTATAAAAGATTACTATTATTTAGTTAAATAAAGAGACAAGACTTTTATGATATATACAAAGAAATGCATTTAACTAAACAAAGATGCACATGGTTAAACTCAGAAACAGCAACAAGAATTGACTATATATAGGTATCAGAAGGACTGGCTTTAGGTCTACAAAGAGCAAAAATCAAGAATATAGAAAAATCACTAAAAGTGATTACAAGATAGTAATAGCAGAAATATGAATAAGACATATAATCGCAAAAAATAGCAAGGCAGAAGTCAAAAAAAAAGCCAATTAAGAACAATATATTTCTATAATAAAGCAAAAGAGAAAGTACATGCAAGAGTTACAGAAGTGATTAGAGATAAGAAAAACTTTAAAAAATATACAAAGAGAAGAACAAGAAGAGAAAGAAAAAATATGAAAAATTAATAAAATATAGAATATAATAGAGAAGGCAATTATAACAGCAGCAAATAGACATATACCAAAGAAGAAGGTTTACAATATGATGATAAACAGAAGACATAGTTAAAAAGATCAACAGCAAGGAAAATTTGTCATAAAGCTTTAAAGACTAGTCAAGTATGCAAAAACAAAATGAGAACAAAAAGTAACAGAAGCAGATAAAAATAAAGTAAATAGAAACCTCAAGATGCTTAACAAGAAAATTGGTGCAAGATTACTAAAAATCCAAAGACAATAGTCTGATGCTTAGGTAGAGAATATAAAAGGCTGATAGAAAATCTTGTAAGAGAAAAAAAAGAATGAATAAAAACAAAAACAATGAAAACAAATAGAAGATAATATAGACAAAAGATGTAAAATAATCAAAACTAATCAAGAAAAAATGATTGCTAGCCTTTTAAACAAGTTATACAAAAAAGTAACATTCAACAGAATAATCAAACAAATAGAAGAAGAAATTAAACTAGTAATAGAAGCAGAACTAGTTAAAGAAACAACAATAGAACACTACAAAAAACAGTTTAAAAAAAGAAATACAAAATTAGAAAAGATATCAGAAAGTTGGAAAGAAATCTATAAACCATAAGACTATATTAAAGAAGAATAATATAAAGAAATTGAAAAGAAAATTAAAAAAGAGAAATAGGATAGAATAATTAGAGAACTCAAAACAGGAACAGCTTTAGAAATATCAGAAATAAGTTATACCTTAATCAAACAAGCAGGGAGAAAAACTCAAGAGCTTTTTAGAGCTTATGCAAATTTGTATTTAGAAATAGGAGAAATACTAATAAAATGGAAAATAGCACAAGTATATCTAATATCAAAAGACATAAAATAGAGATATAGTTTAAACAATATTTATCTAATGGCTCTAATTGACATATTTAAAAAAGTTGTAACAAAGTTAATAACAAAAAGACTTAGCAAAATATTTACAAAGAAAGAAATACTTAAAGGACCAAACTACACAGGCCACTAGAAAACTTAATAGAACAATCAGTACATGTTTTAAACATGATAATGGAAGAGGCTAAAGAAAAGAATAAAGAGATGTGGATACTTCTGCAAAATATGAAAAAGGCATTTGACTCAGTTTTACTCAAAAGTCTTAAGCTAGCCTTACAAAGAGTCAAAATACTCAAAATGCTGATTAAATACATCTTAAACCTTTTTTATAAAAGACAGCTTAAAATAATCATAGCACATGGTCTGACAGAAAAAATAATAGCAGAAGATGGAATAGATTAAGGTGAAGTGATATTATCACTAATATAGCATCTTTTCTATAACCCACTATTAGAAAAGATACAGAAAGATAAAAGGTTAGGCTATACAGTAGAACAAGAGTTTAAAAAAAGAATATACTATAACAATATTACAAGTCATTGCCAAGCAGCAATTGCATATGCAGATGATACAACATAGATTGCAAAAAGCAAAAAACAATTTCTAAAGATTTTAAAGATGTCAGAAGACTTCTTTAAAATAAATGACATTAAAATAAATAAATCTAAATCAAAACTGATAATAATGAACAGGAAAGTTAAAAAAAAAAATAATAATAATTTTGGAGAAAGCAAGATAACAGAAGAGCCAAGAAACAAAATAGTACATTCATTAGAAATCTGACTAAACAACAGAATACAAGAAGTCTTAGTAAAGAAGAAAGCAAAAGAGATAATAAGCTAGACAATAAGAGACCTTAAATATAAAAAAATAATAATGAGCTAAATAGCATATATAAACAATATGGCAATAATACCAAAATTAAGCTACATGTTGCAATTAACAAAGATATTAGAAAAAGGGACAAATGAAATACACTAACCAATGATATGCTTGGCAAAACAAAAAAGTGGCTTACCAAGAATATTAGAAAACTGTATAATAGAACACAAAGATCTTGGTAGTTACAGAACCTTGTAACAAGAACTAATAATAAAACAAATAGGATGCTTAATAGCAAGACTAAACAGAAAAGATAAACTAGAGCAGCTAACAAAACTGAAAATAACAAAGAGTTGTCAAAGAGCAAGTTTAATAAAAAAATAAAAAAATTGCCAGAAGACAAGTCATATTGGAAAAACAATCTAACCTGCTTGATGATAGCTAAAGAAAGAGACTTAGAAATAAATATAAACACAAAAAGCAAACTATGAACAACAAATGACTATGGTTTCAGAGTAATTGAACTAGTAGAATCATGACTATAGAAAAGAAATGGACCTAAAATAAGTGAAGCAGAACTCATATATCTAAATCAACTACTCAATACAAAAGAAGAAAGACTAATAACATGACAGCAACTCAAGGCCTACCAGAATCAGTCAAGCAAAGACAAAAAGGCAAAGTGGTTCAAAATGATAAAAACAAAAATGCTTAACAGAATCGAAAGCAGAAAAGTTAAAAAATAATTCAAAACAGGCAAATGTAATATGCAGGCAATTAAGATCAAGTGAGGAACTCTGTTAAATGACAAGAAAAAAAAAAGAATGGATAATACATAGTGTAACAAAAAATAGGCAAATAGAAAAAATAGTTAAAAAGAAGTAGAAAAAGCTACTAATAGAACATTGGCAAATGCATAATATTCAAAGTAACTTAATAACAAAAATCAACAAATGCAATAGATGTTTAAAAAATGAAAAAACAGAAGAAAATAACTGTTAATATTAGATAAAAATTAACAACAATATAAACACAATTTCAGATATGCTAATAGGGAAGAACAATAATATAATCAAGACAGCTACCAACCAATTAATAGAATATATGAGAATAGAAAAACTGAGAAAAAATGAATAGAAACTAATAGGACTAAAAATGTTAGAAGGTTTAGAAATAGAATTAATTAGGAAACAAAAAGTAAGAGAGAATGTTAGTCAAGAGCTAGTAGAGATCTTAAAAATAAATATATCAAGAGACAAAAACAAATATATAATATATACAGACAGTATAGCAAATAAAAAAAACAAAGAAGAAGCAATAGACAAAAACATGAATATAGGTTGAATACAAATATCTAAAGCACAAAATTAGTTAGAAGAAGAGGTAGCATTAGAAGTAAAAAGATGGCTGATATCTATTACAGCTAAGGTGCTAGCAATATAAATAGCAATCTTAACAATACCAAAAGGAAAAAAATTAGTAATATTTACAAATAGCAATGTAGCAATTAGAAACATTAATAAAGAATTAGCATGTATAGATAGAAATGAAGTTCTTAAAAAGAAAAATACACTATGAGTATTGAAGATAATAGATATAATGAAAACAAATAACATACAGACAGAGTGGGTCAAAGTAAAAAGTTATAGTAGAAATAAATAAAATGATAAAGCTAATAGCCTTGCAAAGAAATGAACATTAAGTAAAAAAATAATTTTTTTAAAAGAAGTTAGCTATGAAAAGATAGAGTATAGCCTAGAATAGGAAAACAAGCAAATAGACATATCTGCAAGACTTCTATGTAAAATAGTAACAAATACCAAACTGGGAGTAAAGTAGAAAGAAACAATAGTGATCAAGAATATAGAATCAGAAGCAGAAATAATAATATACAATTGGATATACTTTTGAAAAAGACTAAGTTCATCTAAAGAAATATACTACCTGATAAGAAGAAGCAGTATAAGAAGAAGTGCTTTTATTAAATATATATTAGAAAAGCTTTCAACATTAAAAGAACTTAATAAAAAAAGACCAAATATATATACAACAGCAGAATGCCAAGTTTGCCAAAGTAAAGTTAAAGAAATACAAGAATATTTGGCATCATATAAGAGACAAGCAAATCTATAAAAAAGAATACAGAAAGTATTTATTACAATAGCATAGAAAAGTTTAAAAGAAGAAGAAAAGATACAAGTCCACCTCAAGTATTATATACAGCACTTTTTAGACAAACAGAGTGAGAAGAAATAAAAATAAGAAAAGCACTGATCAAAGATCTAATCTCAAAAACAATGCAAGACAGGTTATCTTAAATCTTAAATATAAAAACAAAACAACAGTTTGCAAACATAGTAGCAGAAACAATATAAAATACATTTTATGAACAAGTCTGGAGAATTTGTTGCAAAAAGGTCAACATATAAAAAAAAGAAAAAGGAATAATGAGTAGAGGAAAAAAAAGAAGACTAAAGAGAAAAGAAAAGTCAAGTATAAAGAAAAAAAGAAAGGCTAATTAGCAAGC